GATATCTTCGAGTCAGATGACCGCTTCCCGGTGTGGAAGAGGCTAATCTGCCCGATGTTTTCGAACACTGGACTCTTCGCGGGTACGTGGAGTTGGCCTTCTTGCATGCCGCGAGAGGGTCAAGCACATCACAATTTGCACACGGTGTTGTTGTGGATGGAGGGACAAGAATCGACAGAGGCTGTTGATTTTGCGTTCGGCCCTATGAATGAACACTTGGATGTCCTGCAGACTCTGACACTGAAAGGCAAGGCTTTTCACGTGTTCAGCTTTGAGAAGTGTAATCATCAGCTGCAGTTGATCAAGAGCTGCTACAGCGGGCAGGAGAACGTGGTGTCGGAACTTTTGAAGGTTGGAGCTCCAGCTGAGACTAGTCCGTTGTCCGGTCGGCATTCCTCATCACCCGCGGGTGTCTTCCTGGCCTCTGCGCGCTCTACTGGAGGCTCGTGCTTTAGGGGTGGCTGCGGTCCAGAAGAGGGAGGCTATTTTGAGATGTCGGACATTGATCAGAGAGTAGGAACGTGATCGCATGGTGCAAGCGCGATCTCTGGAGTGCTTTCTCTGCGAAGAGTCCTGACGGCCGTTTAGTTTGGCGACATGCGACCCGGGATGGGGAGCTGCGGCAGACTGGCAACAAATGTTATGGGGGCTTATCTGGGGCGCTCTTCTGGCGATGCAGCGATGATCAGGAGCTTGGGAAGAAAAATATGCGAAATGTACACGTGACCATGTACATATACATATACATCAGCTGCAGCTGATGCCGGCTTCGCGCTCGTGCAATGTGCTCATTGTTTCGTTGCGGAATGTCGTCTCGAAGGTCTGTCATTTTTTCACACGTCTTTACATGTCTTCTTATTTCGGCGGGCGACGGTCTCCTAACATTATCTCACTCAGACTAAGGTTAAACTACGCATGTGGGGTTCTCCGGTCCTTTCATCAAATTTCAATTCATTCTAACAGATTTTAATTTGATTTCAATTGATTTTAACGGGGTGTTAATTTGATTTCAATTGATTTGACGGGATTTTAATTGGATTTCAATTGATTTTAGAACAAATCTTCATCAATTTAAATTGATGCTAGCAAGATTTTAATTTGATTTCAATTGATTCTAAAAAGGAATTAGAAGCTGCATTTCATTTGATTTTAACGGATGGATGGATAGATGGATGGATGGATGGGGTCGACCAGCAGGGATCTGCGGCTTCAGGATACCGTCCCTTTCACCATCGCAGGGGAGCCTCCGAAAGCGTCATCGGCAACCCTCCGGCTCAGAGTTCAAGCGCGCAGACGCCAAAGCGCACAGGCAAGACGGTGGTGGGCCCTTGAACATGGCCACAAACTGAAGTGCCAGTAGTGCGCCCACCAATCCTCCATTCCGTCCCTGCACCCTTTAGGCCCAGGCCACAAAGCTACCGGCAAGGACCCAGGATGAGTGCCAAACAACATAAGCTGCGAGGAGGCGCCAGCATGGCAAGACTTTCCAGCCGGCGGTGGTAACAGCCGGATTTGATTTTAACGGGACTTTAATCTGATGTTAGTTGATTTCAACGGGATTTTCATTCGACTTCAATTGATTTTAACAGGATTTTATTTAAATCTCACTTGATTCAACGGGATTTTAGTTCGATTTCAATTGACTTCAGAACAAATCTTAATCAAATTTAAATTGATTCTAACGGTATTTCAATTCGATTTCATTTGATCTTAACGTGATCTTATCCCGATTTTAGTTGAGTTTAACGGGATTTTAATTCGATTTCAATTGATTTAAAAAAGAATTTTAATGAATTTCAATTGATTTAATTTGATTTTGATTCCATTCCAATTGATTTCAAAAGGAATCTTAATTACATTTCAACTGATGTTAACAAGATTTTCATTCGATTTCCATTGATTTTAAAAGGAATTCTAATTAAAATTTCAATTAATTCGATTTAAATTGATCTTAAAAGCAAGTCTTATTTCAATTTCAGTTGATTCCAACGGTATTTTCGTTCGATTTCAATTGATTTTAAAAGGAAGTTCAAGAATTTTAAAGGCAGCCCTCCCAAATCCTTTCAATAAATATCACCCCCTAATAATAGATAATTTCTGACCCCCGGATTATTTATTATTAGGGGGGGTGTCGTTTATTATTAGGGGGAAGCGATGAATTATGTCATACATACAGGTATCGGTCTTAATCCACTCAGAAAATTCTGACCACAGCTGTGCACCCATCCCCCTTGCATTCCAGGATGGCATTCTGAGCGGCTTCCGCGAGTGTCCTCGATGCCTGATAGGTCCGCGAATTACTGGGCTGCCTTGCAGCGAAAGCACTGGGTCCTCTGCGTTCCCGGGAGCCTCACATGGGAAGAGGTGTAGGGACTGGTCTGACACTGCTTCATTTGATGGTGAACTTGGCGATATCCACCCGCGTGGTTCCTGGAATGCCGGCTCTCAATCATCGCCTGCCTGGCTTCTGCGTGCATGCTCTTGAACAGGATTTCTTTCATTTGATTTCTCCACTTGCGGTCCGCTGTTACGCCACCGAAGTGACCCCTATCACATTGCGCAGAAGCGAGAACCCTCACGCCTGCCACGGTCGTTGATTGTTAAAATTGGGACCGGGCCAGCAATGCCCTGTGCAGGAACAAGAAAAATGCAAGCTGCACCTTTACCAAAGGCTTTCTTCGGCTTCAGCAAGGGCCATGGAATATGGCTGAGCCCAGAAGATGTGATCGTGTGTTATTAATCGTGTGTTCCTAGACATCGACTGCATCCCTAGCTGGTAATGCTTTTCTTGCTGCCTTGCACCAACACCAGCAGCATCCCAAATCCTGAGACACTTGCTGTCCAAAGGCACGCCGGCGGTCCAAGCCCATACCTTCCTGAAGCAGGTCAGCGTTCATCGTCAGTTCAGGCTCCGATGAAGCATCCATTCATGGATGCCTGCACCATGCGCTTTGTGTCCGGCTTTCCTCCTTGAAGCGCCTCCTCTAATGCTTCCGCAAACGGCCTCGCAAGCTAAGACTAGTCGGGAGCGGAAAAAAAAATCTCAAATTGCATTTGACGTGCGGACGGGCAGCTGTTTTTCGCCAGGTCGTTTGAGTTCCTCGTCATCGTCCCGCTCAGAACTCAAGATGCCCATGCCGCGGAAGCAAGGCCTCACACTAACAGCAAATGCTAAAGCGATTTCTTACGGAGATGATAGGATCTTGGCACGAGGGCTTTGTAGTCTTCTGCGAGAAGGCTGAGGATGGCAGAGGCCATGCTTTCCTCTCAACTTTGCAAAAAAACAGAAGAGCTTTCGCGACTCCAAATCAAATCCAATCACCGCCTGATGAACCTTCGTCATCTGTGCCACCAAGCCAAAGTCAATCAGACCCAGGCGCCCGTCGTCCAAAAGCATCCTGAAGGGAAGAATGTGCTTCTGGCAAAAGACACACTGCACATCTTCAAGTCATGGTACCTATACTCGAACATGGGTTCTTCTGCAAGCGGCATCTCACAGCTTGTTCTTGGTTGGAGCAGAATATGGCGCTTTTCCTGTGGGAGACCTTTGTTGTGTTCTTCACTGAGGGTTTGTCGTGCAATGTAGGCAATCCATATTGATTTCGAGCGCACAGCAGCTGGAGTTGGACGAGTAGCTTTCCAAAAACACTACCCTTCAGCTTTGAACAAGGAAGCTTGGCAGTGACCCCCAGGCAATTCAAGCACGTGCTTATTGTTCACATGTTGTACAAACTTAGAACACACCGGAGGATGAGAACCGAAGCAACCCACACCCTCCAAGCCATTTTCATGGATATTCTGATGCTGAAGGGCGTAAAGGTAGGGTCTGGAAAAGTCGTTCAGCGCGTACCCTCGTCTGGGAAGCCGGCATATTCCCCTCATGCGGATCGCAGTGTACGAAGCCAGCACCCATGAGCTGCCTCGCCACACGGAATCCAGGCGAAGACGGCATTATGGCTCAACGGCTTCAGTCAGGCTAAAGCATGCAGGCTTGGCAAGGACAGGCATGGCCTCAGCAACTGCAAAGTAGTAGCCAACTGCATGACGGAGCTAGCACCCATTACCCCACCACCTCGTAAGGCCGGCACCCAGCGAGATTGACCAAGCGGAGCTTCTCTTGAGCGCTTAGTTCTCGAGGCTTGCGACCGTGCAACCATGTGGTCGTGAGCACCTAAGTAAAAATACTCCTTGAATTGCTCAACTTTTCAGAGGACTTTACTCCGTTTCTCTTGAGGCGAACACGCGTGTACTTGTCCGTGGCCAGATGACCTGCTCCGCTCGGCTTGCTGCCATAACTAGTGGCTTCGTAGCTGGCCTGGGGCACCACCACATCCGGGCACTTGGAACCATAAAGAGATTGGAACAATTCGACGTGCTTAGCCTGGCATGTGCAGCAGCGTCAAGAATTTCACTTCAGGAAATGCAGAGGCCTCTTGTATGAAATCCAGTTCGGCAAAGAGGCCGTCCCCTACCTCGTCCAAGACTGACCTTCTTGCAGACATGCGTGGTCGTGATCCACAACAGTTCCCTCGTCACATTGCCAGACATATCACATCTCAACCGGCAAATTTAGCGATGCATTCTTTCTCCTGGCGCCTCGTGCTCAGGCATAGCTTGCTATCTGAATCTAGGAGTTATGCAAAAGCACTTTAAGCTTAGAGCTCATGATCTGGAGGTGCACTATCAGTGTGCCAGCGCCTGCAGCAGAATCAGGACTGAGGCGGGCACTGAGCAATCTCAGAACTCCTCGTCGCCCCAAGCACTGCCTCGACTACAACACGCAAACACCCGCAGAGAGGCGCAGTTTTTTTGCATGACTTTATAGTAGCCCATTTAATCTGCAAAGGCCTCCCCTTCTTGCTCAGCACAAAACATTAACAGTCGAGAGGATTCGTCGCAGCACATAGAAGTCGAGGCCTACAAGCAGCAACAAAACAGGCCGAAACTGCTTTTTGGGGAGGCCCCAAGGCGCATGCCAACTTGCTCGGCAAGCCCAGGCCTTTGAACCTTGACAGCAACCTCGCATCTCTCCGATTCTTCGATTGGTTCTTCTGCTAAAAGAAACTTGCTGACCCGGACCTCGGTCCCATCCGCAAGTCTACCTCGGTAGACCTGCTGACTTGCTCATAAGAAATGCTAGAATGTACAAGCAGTCTGTGCATCTGGCCTGGGCCAGCGAGGCAGCCTTGAAGGCCCAGGCTACTATTAATTTATCCTCAGCGGACCAATTATCTTGGAGCGGCACTGCGACTGGCTCTTCCGTCAGAGCCGCGAAAAGTGCTGCGCTTTCAGCATCCCGCGACTGCCCAGTTGTGAGACCTTGCAGAAGACATGCATGCCAGGGCCTGGTTGTGATTCGTGACAGCGGCAGGGATGGGCATGTCACCTTCCAGGCTTCTAGACCTGGGTCGGCAAGCGGCAGGACTGCGGCAGGATTTGCTGAGGCTCCCATGCTTCCTTCGGTGCCAGGCTTGGCAACGGGTCCATCCCAATCAAATTCCTGCAAATCTCAGCTGCTCCGAGCGCATGGCGTATGGATAAGCCGCAGAGAAAACTGGAAAGCCATGACACTTTTCGCGCCGCTCCGGACCCAACTCAGGTCGCCAAACCAGGCAATCCGCGCAAGCGCTTATGATTGACAGCAGCCACACGCAGCTCGATGACCAGCCAGAAACCAAGGAGCACTGCTCCGTGCTTCCAGCAAGCCTCACATGCGCTCAACTGAAGGTGTTAACAAATGGCCTTGGCAGCGCAGCCTCACGTCACATGTCTTTTGAGGATGAGGCGATTCGCCCCAAGAAAGCGCAGGTGAAGGCACCCAGTAGGGCAGGCAGTGCGTAGGGCTCGCTCGTAGAAAACAAGATTCTCGGAGGCTTCTTGCCTGGGCACGCTCCATGCCACCAACAGAAAGCCACCGCGTGTGAGGCCACTAGTCTGCGCCACCAAGCCACAAAGAATGTCTCGAATCAGGCCGCCAAAGCAGGCACTAAATAGGCCGCATATGGCACAAGCACCTGCAATGGTTGAAATGAGGCAGGCGCACGACTACTGAACAGCCAACACCAATAAATCGGAAGGAGTTGTGTGACTGGCCTATGTGGACTTGAGGCTCAACAGCGGCAGCCCGCTCTGCGCCCAGAACAGCGAAGGCTGCCAAACCCACAGTGTCTGTCCAAAATACCTCTGACAAATTGACAGGGCATTCTTAAAAAGTTGCTAGCCGTTCTAAAGAGGCTTCGGGTGTAAGCGGTTGAAGGATGCTAGGGCTTGTATCGGCTGCTCCAAAAAGGTCAGGGCGCCCAGGCGTCATGCAGTGACAGCCCATATCTGCTTGATACTGCTGGCCATAAGAAGAAGCTAGCAGAAGCAATCACGGTACCTGCAGCACGAAGCTAAACGCCTTTGTTCGCCCTTGGGCAAGCCAGGATTCTCACGATGGCTCCTGAGCCTTGCGCACAACAGAATCTCGTCGTAGGAAGTTGCCCAGGAAACAGGCAAATTTCCCAGCACAATGTCTCGAAGCATACCTTTCCAGATCTGCTCGCGCAGACAAGCCGCCCACACCCTGCAAGACTCTGTGGGCCCGCCTCCGCCCAAAGCCGTGCCAGAGCCTACGAGGTTGCAGCCCAATAGGTCCATACCTTCAGAGCTGGCAAGGAGGCTGCCGGTCAATGCAAAACTCGCATCGCCGATGTAGTTGGCGGCCAACAGCATCCTGCAAAACTGCGCGTGTCAAATCCAGTACCCCCCTCCCCCTTCTTCTTACCTTCGCATGCATTCTTCTACCACGCATGACAGGTGTTCCTTAAAAGTACCTTCCATTCACGGCAAGTTAGCGTGGGAACCGTGCATGTTTCGTGCAAGCGGGATGCATGCTTTCCAGCAACCGTTCCTCTGTGGCTGAGCGGTGGAACTTAAAGTACCCCTTACATCAACCATGCCCTCCCCAAGCTCTGCCCCGTTTCCCCTCTCTCTGGCGAGTCTTCTCTGCACCACTGGTAGCCCGGTCAAATTCTGCAGGAGGCGTCCGAGCCTGGCCGAAGAAGCCCATCGTTCCGGTGGGCTGTTAGACTTGTGGACCCTTCCTCCCCTAATTACCCCCAACCCGCCCTCCCAACGGCCTCTCTCTAAGGTTCAAATTCTGCAAACTCACGGCAGTCGCACTGATTTCTTGGCCACTTGGCCCATATTCCTTCATCTAATCTTTCCCTGCATTCTTCCATCCTCCCCGACACGCCTTCCCTTAATCTTCGCTCCAAGGGTGGTGTGTTTCGTGCTGGCAGTATGCTGACGGTGTGATTTCTTACAACCCGCCTCGTCCTGAATTGAACTTCACCTGTTCCTTCGCCCAACCCCACCTTAATCCCTCCTCTTCCGCGTCTGCTGGAAACTCTCCCAACCCCTCTTCTCCATTCATGCTGTGCGCTGTAAGATTCCTGCCCAAACACCTGCCACCTGCCACCCTCCCCGTTCTCTGCTGGAGGCTCCCCCCCTTTCTCTGGCGATTCTTCTCTGCATGATCATGGTTCACCCATCCCTCCACCGCGAAATGCTCTCTCTTTAAGTTCTTACAGGTTGTTCTTCTGTCGTCTTCCCTCCCCTCCCTTCCCCTGTTCCAGGAGCCGCTTTCTGACTCCACTTCTTAACCCCCATGAAGCCCGAACGACCTTCCAGCTGGAGTTAGGCCGACGCGGCGCGCTGAGGATAAGAACTTTCAAATGAGGAGTTTTTTTGAAACTGTGCCGCAAATAGACACCGAATATATACACTTACTGTACCAATTACAAAAATTGCCCATGAGGAATCCTGTTTCTCTTCTTCTTCTTCTTCCCCTTTCTCCTTCTTCTTCCCCTTTCTTCTTCTTCGGGCTTTAAGGGTCCTACGACCCCTCGCAGGCAGAGCCCGCAGCCCCCGCAGGCGCTCGCATGTCCAGGTCTGGTCCCACCCAGGAGACATGACAGGCACTCCTACACACCTCAGGCTAACATCTGACTCATCTGACCTATCTGCCCAGGGCCGTCTCACCACACGTCTCTCCACTGGGGCGTGAAACATCTCTAGCTGCCCTTCTCTTTCTTTTTTTTTTTCTTTCTCTTCGGCCTTTGGGGCGACCATCAGGCCACCCTGGGCGTCATTGCCCAGCCCGTGTTGGGCTTCTTTATCTGCAACCACACCCCTCAAGTCTCCACTGATGACTATTCATTAGGGTCTAAGATACCGCGTACGTAGAGCCCCCACTTATTGTCCAGTGCATCGTGAAGATTATGTATGGCTTGTGTCCCCATACTGGTGTGCAATCTCTGCCAACATGGTTGGTGTGCATGAGGAACTACTATGCAGGGCTCGTACTGATAGGGCTTTGTTGGTCAGAGTTGCCACTGTGAGACTGTTGTGGGATGCCAGCTTGGGAAGAATGTTGTCCTGTTACTGGGTAGGAAAGTAGATTCACCCGGAACCCAGAACCGGTAACCTTTCGAGGCCATGACGATCTTCCCTTCCCACATGTGGGCGCAGGTTTGCCAACTTCAGTGGTTGTTGGGGTCCCAAGAAGACTTACTTGACTTAGGGTTTAAGATTGCAAGGTTGTGAGCTGTTGGCTGGGCGGCTGGGCTACCTGACCGTGGTGAAACTGTTGTAAAGGCTGCTTCCACCTGGCCAATCCTATCTTCCACCGTGCCGACCTTGGCTATCAAGGGTTGGATCGCGTTCAGGAACATGTCTAGTGTGAGTGGAATGCATTCTTGAGCACCATGATGAAGGCTAGGGCGGCAGGGCCCTTTTGCCCCTGGGCTGTCCACGTCCACCTCTATTGGGGTTGTGCTTGCAGTTGGCCTGTTGCTGGCCATGGTTGGTGTACTTTGCCGCAAAGGGGTCCTCGCCAGACTCACGATCTGGTATCTGATGGTGTGCCTGTCCCAGTGTAGCCGGTTTCCAGGAGAACACCGTAGAGGGAAGTGAGGACTGGGTCAAAGGCCTGTCCCGTGCAGGAGCGTTCGGGTACAGGTTGTTGTTGGCAAGGTCGTTGATGAAGGCGCGTCGTAGTGCAAACTTGCCCTGGAAGTGGATGGCAGGGAGCCGGAGAGAAAGATCAAGATGCCGCCCTAAAGCCCTCTCAGACACTGTAAGTGGGGAGGAGTTGACTATGGGGGCTCACCGAGTGTGTCTGCGGGGTTGATGCTCGTGGCTTGAGCCACTCTTCTTCTTCTAATTATGAAGGTATGCAGAACCCTAAAACCCTGCTGGGGCTAGGCCCCGACCCCCGCGCACAGTTCAGGTATCCACGAATCCCAGGAGGCCCGGAGGAACGACCATTTAGATGGAACCTAGCTACGGGTAAGATTGCCGGCGTTCCCTCAAACTGAGTAACCATAGTTCTGTTACGTTCCATCCCGAAATGATGCTCCTCCATTCTCAACCGGGTGGTAACACGTCAGCCCTTCCCCCAGCACTGCACGTGTGGCTGAAGCCATACTCCCGAGGTCCGGGGCTCGGCTTTAAGTTTCCCACACGTCCGCATCATTAACACTAGCAATACCCCGCTACCACTTCCCGTACCTACTGCCAAGCTGATTTCCCACAGTGACGAGTTCATGTTGCTGCGTGCTTTCCAGGCCACCACTCTCTTAGCAGCGTTCCGAGTGTGCCAGCAGCCTACAACTTCCCCAAAACAGTAAAATTGTTTACCAATGATTTCCCTCACTCGGTGGTTTACAAAATTTGGTGAAACCACGCGCTCGGCCAGGGCTTTGTGCAACCACAGTTACCACATGCAGGCTAAGACCATTGATATATTCACCAACCATTCCCATGATTTTCCTTTGTGCCTGGAGAAGAAAACAAGTTTCTATCTCAACACTTCTTCTTCGGGCTATGCTCACCCCTTGCGGGTGAGCCGCGGCACTGCCCCGAGCCCCAAACGTCTTGCGCGGTCCAGTCGGGACTAGCGAGTACAGGAGGCTCATTCATCAGGCTGGACCCACTACTAACCATCACATGCTAACTCCGGTTAAGGATCGGTCCACATTCCTGCACTGGAGCGGTCTGCGCACACCATATCTGCCAACCTTAGAACCCAGACCTACCGTGCCAGGCACTGTACTGAAAACATCACTACCCTTGGCTGTTGGATTTTGCCATTCAGGCTCTCTGGTTTGGAGGAACACATGTCAAACATCGGTGTGTTACTATGTGCGAATTCCGGTTTAGGCAACAACCTCGACAAATAAATCACAGCTACACCATATCACCAGAACTCTTCAGGAGGTCCAGATTCCGGGGTACCTTTCGGTCTTTGGCTTTGCCTTACGACCCTCGCCCATGGTACAAAAGCGTTGCCTGCCCCAACGCTGATTGTTGTTGCGGTTCCCTTTAGGACTTTAAGAGGCCAACCCAAGTACCCACGCCATTCAAACTCCAACCCCACAACAAAATTATGATAGCTCCGGTTTCAGCAGTTGTTGGTTTAGCTGGTCTCACTGCTGCTCAGTTGATCTTCTGACTCCGCGCGGCTGGCCGCTGTCATTTCTTTCTCCTTGTATCTTTGTGGCTTCCCTTCGCATCTTCTTCCACTTGCACCTTATTCGATTGATCGGTTGTCTAACTTCAGTGTTAATTTTTTTGAACCACCTGCAGCCAAAGGTTTGTGACTTCCAGAAGATCGTCCGGTTAATCACATTTCACTGGCATCCAGTAGATAGATTTTGTGTTTTCAGGGCTTCCCCCGGAGAGTCGTCCAGCTCCAGCCTTTCCACACCCAGATCGAATGGCACGGATTGCGGGAAAAGCCCTCCCCAGAAGGTCATCTGGCCGTAGGCTCCCCCAGTGGTTGATCGAGAAGGAAGCCATTGCATGACTCCCCAGTTTGTCCCTGTATCATAGATTGAACGAATTAAGTGAATCGTGACTTTCACCCTCCCTTTTCTGGTAGCACTGTCTATTTGCAACTGGCCTCCATCTCCCCTCTCTCAGTCTGCGAGCCGCGAAAAGCAGTCATATGCTCCGGTTTTACGGCAAGCTTTGATCGAGGCGCCATGGTTTCCCTGTTCGAATTTTCAATTTCCAACTTCCCAACGGCAAGGTTACAACCCTCAGGAAAACTATCTCCACAAACATTGACAACCACCTCCCCCAAAAAGACCAAACTTGCTCGGCTTCTCCCTTCTCCTGCGGCAGGGGCCTATCTCAACACTCTCTCTCTCTGCTTTGATTTGCGTTGCTATACGGGGAGGATGAGGAAAACCCCATTGGCCTGCAGGCCCATCGGAACTGCGCGGTTCAAGTCTGAAACTGATTCTAGCCCGGGCCCACTGGCACATTCCAAAAGGCGACATAGAGGACGGTAATCAAAACAGGCAAACGGAACCCCAAACACAATGGCTGTATACGTCGCGGGGCTCTGGCTGCAAAACTTCACCTCCGCCTGCCTAGCAACGCCTCTGTAAGGATACCACACAGCTTGAAAGATTGATTGATGGAAAGGATGGAATGAGATGATGAGTGATGAGTTAACTTTCTGCTGCTTCACGAGTATACATGACTTGCGCATGAAGCAACCAAACCAAGAAAAGTTCGGAACAACTTCGGGGTAAAAGGGTGCAGAAGGCTTGCAAGGAGGTGTTTCGCGTCAAACTCCCGGGCTACCGTAAGCTGCAACTTATTTCGCCAAAGAGGTCGTCTGGCATACGAAAGTGCCGTCTGGTGTAATGTGCATTTAATGAGGCCACGGAAGTCGCCTGGCGTGCAAAAGTGCTTTCGGTTTGACGAATTCAGTTGATTAGGCCATGGAAATCGCCTGGCCTGTAAACGTGCCTTCAATTTGACGAGTTCACTTCATCACTTCGTGCACTGAGTTAGCAGGTGTTCTGGGCAGCAGGCTTGCAGCAGACTTGTCTCACTTGACTTTCTGGAGGGGCGGTTGTTGCGGAACTCAGTGGCTAGGTGTCGAAACGGGGCTTCCTTCAGGCCATTCCGCGTGTCTGTCCCACTGGTTTCCCTCCAGATGATGCGGCTTCACCTTCTCCACCTTGTTGCCCGTTCAACATGTGGGGTACTTTGTACTTTGTAGTGGCAGTTCAGGATCACACCCTCCGGGTCCGTCGGGTGGTTCACGAAGAGCAGTCTGAGAGCAATCTACTCCTCGAAGGTGCGCTCAACGTTATTCGGGAAGACGCGCAGTGCTTCCAACTGGTAGTAGGAGACACGTGCTATTTATTGGCGCAGCAGTGGAACAGGGTGGTTCCGCAACAGCCCGGGCTCGCTATACCGTTTTGTCTGGGCAAACAGCTACAGCATCGGGCCTCCAGCCCCCCCCCACTCCGATCTGCGTCCACCGCCAGCAGTGGGGGGAACCGCCCCCACAGCGAACGGCCGTGACCATGCACCGCTGAAGAGGCAGGCGAACGACTTGAGCCAAAATGGCTACGGCTCTCTCTTTCTTTCTTTCTTTCTTTCGTTCAGGCTATGGAGAGAGGGTTGGTTCCCTCCCTCCGGGCGTCTCTGCCCAGCCCGTGTTGGGCATGTTCGTCTGCTAAGACCCCTCGTTGCCCCAAGCACCAGGAAACGTTTCTAGGGGGATATTACGTCAGAATGTGTAAGCATGATTTCTCGAGGTGCCGGAGCTTCTACCCGGTGCGTTGTCCTGGCCGTCGCACTGCTCACACTTGGGTAGTTGCTTTCCAGGTGACTATGTGGTACACGCCTATCTGTACGGCTCTCTCTCTCTCTCTCTCCCGCCGTGCCATCGCCATGGAAACCTGTAGGCACTCACCAAACCATATGCAAACCCGACATTAGATTTCAGGAATCCTCTGAAATGCTGCTTCGCGCGCATCGTGTGGGAGCATAGGCAGGCAGAGCACCAGCGCAAGTGCGCGAGCCACACCACAGTGAATCGGCTCCCTGCTTCGTACATGCATCCGAAGCTGGGTCCCTTGCACATCAAGCTCCTCTTCAGCTCAACTGTAGATAAGGGGAAGCTAACTTGAGATTTGACACTGCATCTTGCATAGCTTGAGCCGTGGTGGCTGCTTTATGGTGGCGAAGATGAACCTTTTCGCATCAAGCCGTGCGCTGTGCAGGCGCCTCACAAACAGTCTGCATGGCAATGCTGTTTGAGAATTGACCCATCGAGTCCTCACATCGACACCCAAGGACGTTATCAATTTCAGCAGCAAATGCACGGCTCCATCCTGCAATATCCCCAATTCTTTGCCCAACTCTTTCGTCACCAGATCAGACCTTGTGGCCATGGTCTGTGCCAGCCTCAGGCAAGAACTCGACAATGTGACTAGCTGATAAGGATGATAAGGCTCTAGCTTGACAAAGACCGTGCCAAGACTTGCTACCTGCTTGAAGATTTATTGAACATCATGCAGATATGATATGGTGTACAGGCACCATCTGTTTTTGCACTTTGGCCTCAGAACGCAGGCGCTGACCACGCACGTCCACAGACAAGCTTGGATCCTTGCAAAGGTGATACATACCTTTGCCTGATCTGGGAAACCCCCTTCCTCCCACTAAGGTCGCCTGCCAAGCACTGCGTGCAGCGTTGATGCGGGATGCGACCTGCAAGAATGAGGTAGCTGTCCTAGATTGGTCCCACGGCCCGTGCATCAACCTCCACCAGGCGGCTGAATGCACGTAAGGGATCGGATCCGAAATACCTGCTAAAGTTATAGAAAGAAGCAGAACCATAACGATTCTCACGGCACGGTCACTCATCGAGTGCGGGTCCATCATACTTGCCAGCTAAAGGCAATGGCAAAGCACGTCTGTCAAGGCCTCTGAAGTGGGAAACTGCATTCCATTCTCTGTGCCAAGAGTGTGGCTTTAAAAATGGGCGCATGCCTCTGCATCTCTTCCGCCGCTGCCTCCTCGTAGCCGTTGCAGCAACTTTAGGAGTGCTGCTCCCCATGAAGCTTGACACAAGCCTCGATCCACACAGCATTACGGAGCCCGCCACCGCACCAAGCCGGGTTACCTGACCACACAAGGCAGCCAGGTGACGATGCCGCAGCAAAACCGGCCTCCTTATGTTGCGCTGCATGCGCTGGAACGCCAGGTGTCCTTGCGAAGGCCCCTGCCCTGCGCATAGCATCATTGGGCATGCAGAAAATGCTTTGCTGTGAGATGCTGTGAGCACACTTCTTGATTCGGGGGCCGGCTCAGAGGCCGTCGTCGGCAAGGGATCAGAGTCGAATTTGCTCAGGCAGGAATCTATCATCGGCAACTAGCAACTGATGGTTAGGAATTAGGAAAGCTGCCGCACAACTTGTGTAATGCTTTCGGCAATTCGATGCAATCAGATTTGCCCGGGTGAAAGCTGAACGAGCAAGCTGGCTTGTGGCTCACTGCGCCTGGAAGGGTGAGACTTGCTGACGGTAACGTTGAGGTTCTGTTTGCTCAGCCCTAATCCAAATCGTTCATGTCGGTCACGTCCTGCCATGCTGCCTATGACAAATCCATGCTGCCTATGACAGCTCCAAATGTTTGACCTGATCTGCTTGACATATTGACAACCAAAACATTATGCTCAGTATCTGGCTGCAACTTTTGCTGCAACCATTCCAACCCACGAGAATGCCAGCCTCTGCTTGCGCGCCTAGCGTCGACGCTGCAACCCTCCGGCCACTCACAAAGCATGGTTTGACAGGTCAGCAAATCGAAAAAGGATTGCTGAGTGGCCTGCCTTCCTCTTCGCCGCCGTGTGCCATAGCGACCGCCGGATGCTTCCAAAACATCCAAGCATAGTCCAGTCCTTGCTCCAGGAAAGACAGCACGAGAGCATGCAAATGATCCTTGAGTTCTCTATTTGGCCATCTGCTGCGAGGCTTGGTCACACATACACACACACGGTGACCGATCTGCATGCACGCGTCCCATGCTCGAGCTTTGGAGCATGGTTCCTCCTCACTAAGCAAATTCGCTCTTGCATGGCCCGGAGCTCTAAAGCCAAACCGAAGAAGCCTTTGGCTTTGGATGTCTCTGAGTGAAGCAATGTAGTACTGCATCACAAGTGATTGTTCGTATCGCCACTCTGCTCACCTCGGCCAGGCTCGTAAACCACCCTTGCAGCATATAGCCCAATAGCAATGAAGTCCAAGCTGAAGTTTGGGCAAGGCTCTCCGCACACAACAGAGCGGTGTCTGCTCGCTGTGATCCAAGGATCCGCAATGAAAGCCTGCTCGCTTGGACATGAGTAACATCAACTAACCTGATCCCTTGACCCATGTGCTGCACTAATGCAGCATTGGCCTCGTCCATGACACCATGCCAGCTGCAGCACCAACCAGTACTGTTAAGGAAACTATCAGAGAAGCATATGCATCAGTGGATCGGCCGTCCGCGTGGAAGAAGATCACCAAGCATCCTCTGCAGCTGTGCTTTACAGACCTCTTTGCAGCATCGCTGCGCGCATGAACCCAAGAGAAACATGGCTCCGAACCTTCCGCCACAGTCACCATCGAACGCACCAGGTCTGCCCCAACATGCAAGAGCGCCGATCTCATGTTCATCGAAGGAATTCCAATAATGCGAGAGCTCGTAGACTTAGGCACAAAGATGCAGCACTCTTGAACTGGCATAACCCTTTTTTGGATTCAGGGCTGGAGCAGAACAAGACAAGGGCGAATGGCAGATGAACACACAGCAACCGGAATCGTGCCCAGAAAACCAGCCCAGGACAGAAACAGAAATCCCAGTCTCATGGCCAGGAAATAACCTTGAAGTAGCATTGAAATGTGGAAAGAACGGCGCTATGACACAACACAACACTGTAATTTCCAATTGCGCGCGGACGCGCGCACTTTCTGGAGGAGCAAATCCATATGTGCTTGCGCAGGTTTCAAGACACCGTGCTGGATCTCCTGCTCTTACCTACAGTAGCTTGCCTGAGCTGATTAACTCAACCAATGGAGTGATGCGCAGAGTCGCGCGTCCTGCAAATAGTTCACAATCAGTTATGACACCAATTAAGTCTAGGCCAGTGAAGCTACCATCGCATCGTTCACAACCGGCAGGTCAGATGGCTCGTGCGTCAGATGCTCTCCAAGCATACTAGGCCAGCCCCAGAAATGGAAGCCTGAAAAATTCGCAGCGACATGAGCAGTCAATTGGCGACTTCAGCATCTATGCGAGCAGGCAGCTCCAGAAAGAGGCCAGGTCAACACCCAAGCCCACCAGACCAAATGCAAGAACAGTTCCAGGCGAAAGGCCACCCTTGTCTTCCGGGTGATAGATGTCCTTTGTTTGATGGATGCTATCTGGGGCAACTTCGGGAGAACTACAGATTCAAACGCGGACTGCAAGATGCAGATCATGTGATTCAGCCATCACCTCTTGAAGCTGAGATGCTTGCAGCGCTTCCCACATTCCAGAGGCTGCAATCGCCAAAAGAACTATGATTGAAAATCCAGATGCACACAGATCGGTCACCTTGCACCAGGCACTGGTGAATAAGGAAATGTCCGTTTTGCCAGCTTGCCCCTACGGATCCTTGACAGGTACTCTCCTGCCTGCCCCTGGAAACGATCAGCGCAGAGATTGCCAATATATGTCCCCGTGTCCACCAACCTGACGATCTACATAGGTAAACCCAGATCTGCTGTACGATGCAGCTTGAAGCTGAGCAACATGGATCCAGAGTCCACAAGAAGAGCATTTGAGCTTGCAAGAAGGGCGGCGAGGAACTGCGCTACCTTCTGAAAGCAGATCGCATCCAAACTTATCTCATCGACTTGCTTCATGCTTCTAGAGCCCATGTCCCATTCCTGAGTTTGAGGCTGTAATCGAAAGAAACCTTGGCCAGCCAGAGCAAGGCTGACGGAATGCATGACGCAAAAGGAGATAGTGCCGCTGTGCTACAGAAGGATGGTGGTGACAAGAATCTTCCTGGTCACACTGGGTGGAAGGCCGTTGCTCTGCAGGTCAAGGGACACCCTCTTTGTCAGCCGAGGGGCGAATTGCCAGAAGATCCTTCCCAGCTACATGGCAAGTCAGCATCGCACGGCCAACGCATTCGAAGTGAAGCAGGCTGATGGTCAATGGCTTTATGGAAGTTAAACGAGACTTCTGAAAACGAAGGATGGGAGCAGAAGATGCGGATCCGTTGTTGTTCTACGCTCTCGGATGTTTTGGGAGGTCTGCAATGCTTCGGCAAGCCAGAGCTCCAAATGATTTCATTAGCGAACTCAAGCAGCCGGGCACGACGAGTGCAATTCTGGCACTCTGCTGATGTAAATGTGCAGAGGCTGCGGCCCAAACTCAGCAGCAAAATCCTGCACACCACCAGACCACATCAGGCGTAAAGCGCAAAAATGAGCCTTTGCACAGAGTTACACCAGCTCGGTCCATCGGCGTCTGCCCATTGTTGTTGAAAGCCCCTGCTCCCAATGTGAACCTCGCACAAGTCAACAGTGCCTGCACCTTTGTTCACTCGATTGCCTGTGCCTTGGGCAAGCCAGTATCATTTTGCAGATTTCCTCCTCGTCGTTTGCAGCTGCGATGTGGAGGGCTGTCGACCCAATTCCATTCCTGATTGCGTGCATCTGCTTTGCATACAAAAGCTTGCTGAAGGCAGCTCCTGGCATTGACCTGCACAAAGTCGGCCCTTGAGAGCAAAGAGCGGCACGCCTGCACCGCGATCTGAAGTTTCCATTCCCAACCAGCGTGGCACAGGCGCTGCACAGCCACATATTCCGGAATAAGGCATCATGGATCAGTGGCATCCTGCTGCTGAGCCCCCAACCGCCACAAAGAACATGTCAAAATCAAGCCCTCCACGAATTCTACTAAAAAAACTCCGAGAACTACAGAGTGCCTTCAGGTTAGATATCCTTAGAAGCCCACCTGCACATGTCCCTCGGCTGCAATGAAATGCAAGGCGCTTCCCACACAGTCATCGCCTCAGACGCATGGCAATTCGAAAACTTGAATGCCAAAGCACTCCTGGCAAGAGTTGTCAAATCACTCGAGGCCAGCACTGGCGTTCACGATGTCCGAAGTAGCTGATTGGACTGCCCGCAGTGCAGCCTGCACGCTGGATATGCTGGCTCTGCCAAAATGAATTCCGCGGCAGTGGCTTCGCACATCTTTTCACAATGTGCCTGAGAATCACAGGCCTGTACTATCTCCAGAAACTCCTGCAGGCCCGGCTCAATGCCAGTGAATCAATCGGCTTATATGACCATTCAGCTGGCATCATAGTCGGGGGTTGCAGCGCTGCTGAATCATGCCAAATCAACTTGCGTGCATAGCAGCCGGTGTTGACAGTATGCATGCACATAGAAGCGGCATCATCCGACATTGGCCAGCACTGAAACCGCAAAACGGAAAATTTTCTTTGCATGAGGAAAAGCCTCACGAGTCATGAGCAAGCCCTAGACTTCAAAAAAAACAGTTCAGGACTGGAGCGTGCACGCAGGATGGCGCAGGAACGGCCACAAACACCCACAACATCTCACAACGCACGGCCTCCCCATCGTGTCCCACACTGCATGCGTCGATTGGAACACGATCTAGGCAGTCGTGCGTTTGTGAGTGTTTGGCCAGGGCCCCAGATTGCCGAGATGCCGGAAAAACGCGGGAGGCACACGCATGGGCCGTAAGCTTAAGCTGGGCCACGCTGCATCACGGATGTAGAAAGGGGGTCCTCATCAATAACCATCTAAAAGCTAAGAACAGGCGGGTGGGATCAGGATGACGTCAACCAAGTGCATTGCCGGCATCAGCCTGCCGGTCGATTGCTCGCAGTCAAAGGAGTCAAGGATCGACCATGCTCATACGAAAATGAAAGTGGATCCTGAAGTAGCTGCTACAAACAACAGTGGTGAGACGCCACGCCACCGACAAAGGCAAGAACAGATGATCAAGTATGATAACAAATTTACACATCAAGTAGTAATGTTCCTGGAAGTGTCTTTTGGACCTACATAAATCCACAAGTGCTGACAATCATCATGTTATATGCCGCAAGCTTTTTCGGTGGAAGTACAGACAGTTGAAGTTTGCTTTGCAATAGGTTGACATTGAGCTAAGGAGAACTGAAACAGATAAACTCTCCAGTCATCAAAATGAGACCGAAAGCATCTGAAAGAGCAAGCTCACCCGTACCCAGGCATCAGGTGCTGAAACTTTGAAGCCATGACACATGGTAGAGCGCCCTTTTAACAAGTTTCAAGGAGTTCAATGGGTCTCCTGGTAATTACATGGTTACGTACAAAAATTGTGAAGTTTGTCACGCTTGACTCACGGCGCCTGCGAGTACTGTGCGAACTAATGCACAAACTGTCTGATTAAGAGATACGCTTCCGGCTCAACCTCGGGAAGGCCTTGCGAGGGTTGTCGCATTATGACTATGCGTTCAATAGGAAGCACCTGAAAATACGTATTCTTGATCTGCACTGCATGCCTTCAGAGACAGCAAACGCAGCAACAATGCTATGCGTTTCGAAATCCGATGTAGGGGCATCGGTCCGCACGCCAGTGGCCCCCTCAAGAATGCCGCACCCGACCAACCGAGATTTAAACTCTGGTTCAAAGTCAAGTGGTCAGGTTTACGCTGCTCATGAATGTTCTCGATGGTGCCTACCCATTTCATGGGTAGCGCTGCATGCCCAGGTCTACTATTCATCCTGTCCACAGATAATAAGGATTGCTGCCCTGAAGTTTTCATCTTTCTTCCACTCTTGACTCTGCTTTCATCGATTTTGTGTCATATGAGAGGGCTGGCTGTGCAGTAGTTCAAAACCCCCGGAAGGCGACTGAACTCTTCACATTGTCGATTGCTCAACCTGTTCTTCGGTAATAACATGATTTGCCATGGACGCCTTATAGGTCGTCCAACGCTTGCCACTTTGGGCATTCATGGCGCCAGTTAGGTCGCCAAACTGCGCAGCAGGCATTTCTTGCCAATTGTCGCGCATCTGCTGCGGAAGATCATCGGTGATGTCGTAGGAACTAACTCTACGACTCGGTGGTCTGTCTGCTTCCGGCTCTACACATCTCTCTCGTCTCGGACGCACGCTACGTTCTGAGCCTTCTGCTCTTATATTTCTGGGGCTGTCTGTACAAACAGTACTTGTGCGAACAGGTTCACTTGGAGCACTACGGACTACGGACTTCCTCTCTTCCACGCATATCCACGCATGATAGGGAAGCGGGCATATCGGAGGGATCTTCCTCTTCGATAGGAGCCTCATTCCCAGCAGGCTCCTTGACAGTACCCCGGCTCAGCAGCGTCAGGAATAACAGGTTCCTCGTTTGGGACCTGTTGCGCTATACAGCTTCAGCATCAGAAACGGGGCGAAGGTTTTGCGCTGACACTCAGGGGGCTGCTGAGGAGACCCCTGCGCGACTTCGGGATTCGGCCTCAAGTCAACACACGACACCTATAGCATGTGCGCAAATCCTGGCAAGAAGACTGGCACGAAACTTCGGAATGCCATCTATCCCCGGGAACCTATCCTGTAGCATCCTACGATAACAAGGATGACCCTGAACTGCTACCCAACGAGAAGCAGGAATATGGGGAGTATGAGCTCGACGAGCCTGAAGCCACTGCTCTCAACTCCACCGAAGAGCTAAATGATCATGCTATTCAGTCCCAACTTGCCGCGAATGCCGCTTCTTGCCAGGGTAAAGGCAAGGGCTTCAATAGGCTCAAAGGCAGGGGCAAGGGGAATGGAAACGTCGTCCGCTCTCATCTGACTTTGGAGCAAGGCACACAAATGAAGCGCTTTCTCTGTGGAGGCACCCCCTTACTGGGCCGGTGACCCGCAACGCAAGTTCCCCATTGCTTTCCATGGCGCCGAGCCCCGAGCCCATGTTGCACTTTAATCCAAGGCAGCGACGCCGATGGCTTGCATGTTGCCGCAGCAGCCAGTTCATACACGAGTTTCGCGGTGGACGGCAGACGTCCGTCGACCCAGGTCGGCGCCAATGGCAGCTGCCTCTTCGTGACTTTCGGGCGCAGAAGGTTCAGCCGACGCCAGGGCTACGGTGATGGCAGGCGCCGATCGCAAATTTTTTATGTCGGACAGTTCAACAAGGCCTATCATGAGCTATTGCCCAGAATTTTAACCACTTTGCATGGGCTATGCAAAAAAATCACGCCTTCACAGCAGCTTCAGGACTTTCTCGCTCCAAGCCCACCCCTCGAGCAGACATGCCGCGAGCGCAAAGACTTCTCCGCAGGATTCTCGACAAACTTTGCCCAAAGGACCTGGATCAGGGAGAAGCGATGAGAGCCCACCCTGACGCACGATCCGGAGATGCCCCCACGTACCATAGTTGATCATCCTGGTAGCTGGTAGCTCGCGCAGCACCTTTTATTGATGAGGTTCCCCGCGACTTTCAAAAAGAGCGCCGGAATTGTAGTTTGCTTGAGGCTACTGCGGCGGCTTTAGGCACTGTCCAGGCCTCAACCTCTGATGACGCCACAGCGTGCCTGGACGCTACTCCTGTCGATGGCATTGTAGGTTTGTTTGTAGATTGCACGTCGACTGTCGACCCTTATATTGCGACAGAGCGCAGCATCGATCCTTAATCCTTGCATGAGGCCCGAAGGGAATGCACAATTGAGGCTTACAGAGAATGATCCTCATTCATCATGGTCAATAGCCTGTCACCTGTAGCCATGATGGGCTCATCGCAGTCCATCTATGATACGCGCATCCTGCAGCACGACCTTGGCACATCCTTAGCTCACGATTGCTACAACATGAGAGACCAGAGGTGTTCGAGGATTTAAGAGCTATCCCAAGACCCCGTATAGGGAGGTTGAACCTGAACCCGCCTCCAGCCAGGAACCTCCACAAAATCCGAGATGCAATTCCGATGAGGAGCTTGGTAGGTTGAGACCTCACTGGCTAGGTTTGTATGGCGATTACGATTTGTATGATCCTCACCTTGAACGCACACCTGCCCATAGGAGGGCCCTAGAAACACTGATGTAATATAGACCTGTCACAGGACCTAGGACCTAAAATTCACGAGGCTAGGATGTGTGAACCGCAAAACCTGCCCCTAAGCTCCCCGTCGCAGGCTCATCCCTTGATCACGACCAGCGACAGGGGTACCCAGGCTCCTACGCCTTCTAACCCTGAAGGTCCTGAAAAAAGGCGCTTTGGCCCTCTCCTGAACCCAACATTGGGGCAGGTCAGATGAGGGTTGGAATTCAACCTGTTATTCTAAGGCGCGGGTTGTCCGCGCTGAGTGGAAACTTAAATCCTTCTTATTAGGTTTTTGCCGCCTCCGAGGCTGACTGAGCGGAGGGCACAGCTGGTCGGGGCGACCAAGACGACGTCCAACCACCGGCCAAGTTTGCAGACAACTTTGCTGCAGCTCACCAAGGTGTCTCTCAGGACCTGCCAGAAGCTGAGGGTGACATTGAGGAGAAACCAAGCCTAGTCTCGACTCACATGGAGCGAGACGCCGCCAGAGCCCACCCAACCGTGAGAATGCCTGGGCTGGGCACACCGTAAGCGCGCCGATATGACGCAGCAGGGCGGCATGGTCTTTGGCTATGAGGCGCGCCTTGCCGAGCACAACGCCGGCCGGCATTCTTTGACCGATCGATGGATGGCTGAACCCGCTTGCGGCACCATGTTTGCGAAGCGCCGCAGATTTGGCTATTGACAGCCGGTGTGAGATACCACGGCTTTGTCAACTTGAACGAACGCTCAACCCAGAACCCTCTGGTCTGGCATCCCAAGCTCCCGCCTGAGCTGGTGAGAGATCACCGAGCTATCTTTGCCGGGACATTCGGCCGACGCGTGATGAAGCAGGTGGAGCTTTCTCAGCCCACGTCGGCCGACGCCATGCGATAGGAAATAACTTGTTATCGTCTAAGGGTGGCCTGCACTACTTCAACAAGGTTTACACTATCATTAGGAAGTGCCTCGAGACATGTAAGCCATTGCGCATGGTGTTGTTTTGCACGTCTAATGGGCGGACCAGGCGCTGCCCTTCATGCCGCATTTTGACCACCACTCATGACGCTCGTTCACCTCGATGCTCTGCGCGAGCGGAACTGGCACGCTATGAAACGCGAAGGCAACTGCAAGGAGTGTGGACCTCGCGGCTAGACTTCTGCCACTGCGCAAGCAGCTCAGAACCAAGTGAATACCAAGTGATGCGCCTGCATTGGTGCTCTATCCACGCAATCCTGCTGATCACCCACGACCTACGGGCGTGGGGAACCCTATCAGGCCACAGCTCAATGACCTCAGCCTGTGCCACACACACCACAACTGTCACAGCACCCTGCCACCGCAAGCGGGCACGTGCGGAACAGCGGCTATGGACTCGAGGCTCTTCCAGTCTTTGGCACACGCTTTGACGACCAGGGCTTCCTGGCTCACCTGGCAGCTCAAACTTGCAAGTTCAACACGTATCGGCTCTGACAGCTCGATTCTCGTGTCCAATGCGCGCATGCTTCCACCATCGCCGTCGTCGTGACACGTACGACAACATGGACTCTCCGGCTTGCCATGGACTCTCCGGCTTGCCTAGAGAGCACTCCTTGCTTGTTTTTACTAGCTGCTAGCTCGGAACAATTCTCGAGCTTCCTCGGCTGCACGGGAGATGATGGAGGAATACTTAGATACGGCCTGCCGCATTTTCTCCACGACGGAACGAAGTCCTCCAGGAGCCGTCAAAGATTCGACCCGATACTTTGGCAAGCTCGGGAGCTTCTTCGCAAAGTCTGTCTACGATGCGAGCCACCCTCTCTGTCCTTGCCTTGCACGCATAGGACGTGGTTTCATCCATGTCTCCACTGCGGGATGACATAGACAGCACTCCGCGCTTCTTGGATCCTTTCAGACCTTTAAGCTTGGACTTCGTCAAACCCTTCCCCTTGCCGGAGGAAGTGCTGAACTTCTCTGCGGCACTCCCGCTGTCGTCGTCAGGAGCTTCTTCTTTCTCATCCTCCGGGCCGGTATGAGGTTCATCCTCGGCTGGATGGTCCAATGCGAGGGCTTTCAGCGCTCTCGGCTACCGAACCAGATGCTTCCGACTTGCGGGCGGCTGCGTACAGCATCTTGTTAGAGATTCAGGCACATGAGCGTCCTGAAATCACAGTCATGGAAGGGTGCGGGATCACCATTGTAAATGTATGATCCGGGTCGGGTCTCCAAAGGAGTACCTGCGGCTCCGATCGGCGGCTGGTACCGTAAACCTGGGACACTCATGGCTCAGAGATCTCGAAGCAGTCTGCAAGTAACCTAGGGGTTGAATTACTGGGTGGATGTTCTCGCCCAGCCTGGACACAAGAGGGTACCTACCGCATCCTACCCCACAAGATGCAGGCCTTTCACGTGCTCTGCTACCAGCATCGGCAATAATATTGCTACGTTCAACAGACTGCAAAGCTTTTCACGCTTGACTCAAGGCACCTGGGGGTACAGTGCAAACTGATGTACAAATTGACCTGGGCTGACTACAACTGCTACAGGGAAACATTCACAGTTCCCAATACCTGCAAGACATCTATTTTTATTAGTGCTCAATGAAAAACAATGGAAAAGCTGTCCCTCACAGTGCCCCGATGTCCTCTTGAAGCCGTTCCAGGTCCTCCGATTCCTGGCAAGGTCTTCTGGTTTCCAGGCACTCAGCCGATGTCGTGTTTGTTTTCAACCTTCTGCACATTGAAGGCCTTGCCCTCCGCGAACTGGCGCTGCTCAGAGCTTGGAAAACTGTTTCCAAGAATGTGCGCCAGCTCTTCCTTGCCAAAGCTGCAGGGACCTCTTCGATGCAATTCCGGAGCACTGCACCTGCCTCGGAGATTGATTGTGCAACCTCCAGGGGCCCCTGAACCTCTGGTCAGTCAATTCTGCAATACAGGCTTCCTTTGAAGACTGGCCTGTTGAGGTGTAGCTTCATTGAGGTCTGCAAGAAGCGCATCTCTGCACCTTACTTGGATCCAGGGCGTGGCAAACTACCCTTTCAAATTGCCTGATTCATCAGCCAGTAAAGTAGTTACCGAAGCAGCCAGACTGTCGGAACGGATGCCGAGCAACAAGCATTTGATGACTCGATGACAATGCGATACGAGAGTCATGTCTGCGTAGGCAAGTCGCGCCCTTCCGTCATGCACACGTCTTGGCTCTATGGCCACGTCGCGTTGCTGGTTGCGTCTCTGTATCAACAGTAACAGATGTGCACCAACACAACTTTGCTGTTGCCATGGCTGCATCTCAGACAGTGACACATCATCATAATAATCTGTGTGCCACCCATACACTTGCCCTAATCCGTGCTCTTGATTCATAAAATCCACCTAGATCTAAAGCATACTTTTCGGGCAAAATTTGGGGTCAAAGACAACTTTAAAGGCAGAGCCAGGTTTGGGAGCAAGAGCCCCCTAGCGTTGAAGCAAATTTTGCCCAGACACTAAAAGACAGCAAGGTTTAGGTTTGAGGTTTAATTTCAAAATCAGCTCAAAAAAGCTAAGGCCAAAAGTTAGAAACCTCAAAGGCCCCACAAGGATGTGGATTCTGAGACCTGAGTTGCTCATTGAAGTTCATTAGGGATTGAAAGTTCAAACATTGCTTCCTGAGCTACCCCTTATGAACCTTGCGTGAGAGGATCTTTCTTTAGATTGGTGGAACAATCTTAGAATAATGGCAAATGCTTTCAAAGTTGTTTCGCAAACGAGACAGATTCAAAAACTGTAAGGAGCGATTCAAAATTAGTTGAAGCCTAACTAAAATCATGTGAACTAACAGAAAAAAGTATTCCAAGGCGTCCAAAATCGAATGAACACAAATAAGACTTAATGAATATTCAAATTGAAATCTCAACCAAACCAACTCATCATCCAATCAAGACCTATTAGAACCAATTTTAAAACCAAGAAAACACACAAATCAATTACGACTAATGAATCAACACGAAATAAGATGAATTAAGTAAAACGAATTCAAAATCACAGAAAAGCAAGCATGAATTAATTAGCTTTTCCTTTTGGGGTCCGGAATCAATGGCGGGCAAGACCAGACAGCCAGCTAAATTGCAAGTGACCATTTCCAAGATCACGAGCTTGCGTGTTTATTCCCCTGGAGAGAGAGCGCAGACAAGCCATCCGAATGAGAGGGACGCATTACGCCAGCTCATAGCCGAAATTCCGATGTGCACAGAAGGACCACAAACCGCAATGCAAGGACAGGACTCGCGCTGGCGATGAGATCAGAGGCTGCGGTTCTCGCAGGACGGGGCGGAGCAGACTGTAGCAAGGAAGAAATGTCATGCCTGGGCAAGGCCACTTCTTCCAACAGAGCAAAGCCTGGGTCCCACAGGTCAATGACAGCTGACCGAATCGAACAGTCAGCCGAGAAAAACTTCATCGCAAGATGGTGGGCGCACAGGTGGGTCAGACGGCTGAGCCAGGGCTAAGGACATGAACTGTCAGGCACTCTCGTTGCAATGCGCGAGACATCTCTGATTTTCGAGCTCTTCAAAAAACTGAACATGTCTTCAATTTTGCTGATTCGGACGTCGCTCAAGTCAAGGTGATTCAGGTTGCTTAATCAAGCACATCCTTAAGGCTCATCTTGAGGTCTCCCAATGCGTTATCGCTTTCCTAACAAACTACGCCATTGTTGCTCCCACCGATTGCAGCAATGCCCTCCATCTCCATTTCATTGCCCCAATGCCCCAAGTCGGCATCTTCCCCATCGATCATAGGTGCATATCCTCCTGGCCAATCCTCATCCAGTACTGCAAACTTTGGTTGTCGTTGGAGATCGTTCAAAGCCAACGGATTATTTGGAATGGCGCCTACGGGAGACATAGACGCGGCACTGTCCACTACAACACAATCTGAGCCGGCTCGTGTGCCTTGAGCCAAGTCTTCCTGAGCCGCTTGAGCCAAAGGGCAGCTACCAAAAAGGAGATTGGTGGCTGCTCAAAGCCCAATAATTGGGAAAGGCGAGTTGGAGATGCGGGGCATCAAGATCCACCTGGGAACTGAATCCTGCACCTCTGGACAACTGAGCCACAATGGATTCGACCCCTTCGAATTCCGCGGGATCCAAACCCATCAGTGAATACGGCAAAGAAAAGGAGCACTGACTTTCTTCCCACCATTTTTCTATGGACTTGACCCGCTCCCATCCCCTTGGTCCAAATCCATCCGCAAATGCGGTGAAGAAAATGAGTCCTGTTTGTCCCAACACTATTTTCCAAGAGATTTCGACCCCTCCCATCCCACCGGGGTCCAAATCCATCCGTAAATGCGGTGAGGAAAATGAATACTGAATTGAATACTGATTTCCTTGGCACTATCTCCACATATCTCCACATCCCTCCCGTCCTCCGATGATGCGAGTCGGTGCAGCCGCCCCAATTGCAAAACCATTGAGGAATGTAGCAGTTGTTGATGAGGATTCTTTTTTCCAATGAGCAGGACTGAGCTCCCGACGAACAATAGAGTACAACATGTGAGGAATAAAGCACGCTTCGCGAGACGAGACAAAGCAACTCCTAATAAATGACCTTTCTCTATTAGACAGCTCATGTTCTGATGGAAATGATGAAACGGCGGAAAGTCCTTAAAACAAAAAGAAGCAAGATGAAAAACCTTCCTTCTTCCCCGCCTCCTTTGCTCCGTCCTTCGTTGCTTCTTCCTTCCTTTCCTCCTTTCTGCCTTGGGTTGTCCTTACTCGAATTCAGCTGTTCTGGCTGCCGGAGGGATTTTTCATTTGATCTCTCTCTAGTAGAAAATTGTGATATTGATCCTTATTTGATTCTGTATGGATCCGTATTTCATGATGTTTGATCCTCATTGCTTTTTACTCCACATAGCCTTAAAATTGCAGCTGCTCTGTGCTCCAGCATGGTTGTCAGAACGGATCATTCACAGCTCAAGACGCCATGGGTTCCTTGATCTGTTGCAACATGGCTGATCCCTGGACTTGGCCCGAACTGGACCACGATTCGCCCACATTCAGTAGTGAAGCATAGTGAAGCCCAGGCCAAAAAGGAAATGATGGAGCTGAGTACCGCTGCAGCCAAACTGGCCACGCATGTCGTGCCAATCAACCTTGTGTCCACAAGGTGTTGCAAAGCAGCGGTGACACGCGTGAGATTGACCTTCCTATCCCAGCCAGCCAAACTGCTCATAGGAGAGCGGAAAACATCGACTTGATCACACCAACAAGTAATGTCCGCGTGACCATCTGCCTTGTTCTTATGCGGTGACTTTTGATATAAAAAAAATTGCCCGAACGAACAACTGTAACAGTAAATACTTCCAGGAAATTTGAGTGCACAGAGCAAGCAAGAAGGGGATCCAAATGCACAGAGAAAGCATACATTGGGCTCATAAGGCTTGCGCCGTACTCCAAACAATCTCTGCAGCCATTTGCGGAGCATCTGGGCCATGCAGCTCAGCATCTGACAGCCTTGCAAAACACTTGCCATGCACATCAAGAACCAACAATGGCTGCTGGAGCTGGGTGCTGGTGCAACCAAGAGGCATCCACCGAGCACCGACATGAGCGGCCCCAGCGCCGGTCAAACGGGAACCATGGCAAGGGTGAACACAATCCAAAATGCGGGGTGATACGAAGCAGGAAGAATGACAGCTGCCCACCTGCTCCTGCTTTCAACGTGTGTTTCAGCATGCTTTCAGCCTTGAGCTGTGGACCATATTTGCCATATTCACTGACTGAGATTGCTTGAGGAACGTTCAAGCTCTCAATTTCTGTTGCCTTCCTTAGGACAAGCACAACGGAATCTCCAAAGACCCTGTGAATAAACTTCTGCCGCTCCATGAAGGTAAGGATGCTCGGCGCACCGTGGTGCCCACGTTGCATGGACCTTATGTAGGAATGGGTTGACAAGCTTGTGTCATTCACTGTCCTGTGAGATACTTGCAGATAGCTTCATGACTTGTAAACTTGTTCAAGCTTGCACGAGGCAGACCGCTCACAAGCTGCTTCCAAGTTGCGGAGCTGCGTGTCGCAGTCGGCAAGCCATGGCTGCAGAGCATTTGTTGGAAGATGCTTTCCGTCAAAGACTAGCCTACTGAGATACCCTGAACGCTGGATGCTAGATTTGAAGTACCTACTGATAACACTCGGCTGACTCATGGCAAGACGCCCTACCAGCGCAACAAGATCAGGGCGCAGAAAGACTTGTATTAAGAGAGAAACATCAACCCACGACCCTGTTTGACTTTTCGCCACACTTGACAACTAATAAACGCTTGTGTCCGCCAGGCGCAGCCGTAAACTGCTTATCCTGAAATGCGAATTGACTGTTGACGTGATTTCACGTCCAGGCACGACATTTCGACTAGATTTCTGTCCACGGAAAATTGCAGGGGAAGATCGCACGAAGCGTGCATCTAATACCAAAGCCTCGAAAGATCGAAAACTCTTGGACCGACTGATTGTCATGAAGCGGCAGCAGCTTGCTTCAAATGCCCTCGCTGCTTTCCACGACCAACCTGAGAAATGCACGATTGGGCTTGAAACGTATCAACTGCATAGAACTTCCAAATCCAAATTTCTCAGCCCTTCACATAACTACGTGCATGGCATGCACAAAAGAACCACCACTTGAATGCCTGCCTTTAACAAAGCTGCTTGCTTTCAAAGTTGTTTCTTGTAGCTTCAGAGGATGCCCCGTGCTGGGCTTCAAGGCTGACACATGCTGACACGAAACGCAAAACCACGTATGCGGCCCAGTGGCAGGCCTTCGTAGAAGTAGCGTACAATTTCCTTGGCAGGCCATCACCGGTATCCCAGCAAATCTTGTGACATTCATCCAGCGGGCTTCCATGAAAAGCCCGCAGAGATCAATGATGATCAATTTGAGGCGCAATTCACAAATGCTTGCTCATGCTTCCGCAAGTGAGCTGTACTACGCCAGCAGGTTGCCTATGTCTTGTGGCGTTGAGCTTCAATTACGTTGCCAGAATTTTCTGCCAAGTTGCTCTGTCGTGGGCTCCACAAATTGCTCAGCGAGTCCAGACAAAAGCTTGGAGAGGTGGATTTACAGCGTGATGGATAGCTACGGAAGCGAGCATGCTGTGCACTTCCACTTTCACCGAGAAAGCGCACACTTCAGAAAGAACATTCATGGCAGACAACAGGGAAATGAACAACAAGAGAAGCGAAAGACAACGTCAAACAATGTACAAAAAAAGAACAAGCCTGCAGAACCTAGAAACAGACAGCTCAACAAAAAAATTAAATAGATGCCAAATGTGCAAAACTTCTCCTACTCACCTGATGCCTGGGTTCTATCCGATGTCTGGTCTCTTTCTGACTTGTGGTTTTGTCTCCTTCTTTGTGATCCTGCGCTGATGCGTCACATGTCAGGACACATATGGTCATAGAAGTAGCACACCCTTGCCCCTGACACTCGCTCAACGCGCACATGACCACGGACGGTGTGAGATTCATGACCTAAACCCGGAGCACATGCACCCAGCAGGACGAGGAAGTGGGCGCCGCAAAGGTGCTCGGATGAACTGGCTGCGAACAGCCCTGCGTCTTGGATGTCCACCCCTCCAGTTCAGCGGACTGCCCAACTTGTCCTACTAAGTAAGGAGTGCTTGGCCTTTTCCCTTCGGAAAGAATTCTTTCCGTGCTGTGGGCAAAGACTCGGCCATTGGCTACAGCTATACTTCGCCAGGTGGCGCTTTCCAACAAGCTTCCTTGGACCTGTCCCAACAACAACCCAGCTCCACAGCAGATAACGCAATCTTCGCAAATGAAAGCTTCACTAGCTCTGCTGCCTGCGCCATATTCGCGAAGCCTGGGCGAGACAGAGCATAAAACACTCCTGAAAATTGCTCAATCTGTTGCTTAAAAGATGGGAAAGGATAGGTGCTTCACAACCCTCTTCAATGAGCGGCCTGGCTTTCATTATCAATGCACTCAGCAAATCCCTGACTCTGGACTCCGAAAAGCCGATGCCTAGTGACTAGTGAACCTGCGCTATGTATTGCAGCCATTCGCTTCAGGAAGGCATGCTTAGTAGCTACGTGTGCCAAGCTAGGGGTCAGTTGCAGCTGAGTGCAAGGCTCTTGCTGCCCCACCACTTGTCGAAAGCATCCCGACTTGTCCAGGCACTCATGCTGATGTAGTTTACCTTGCTTACACACGCTGACACAAAGCCAGGCTTGTTGTCAGAAAGCCATTGTGAGGTATTCTTAGAAGTGCTTCAAGTGACATCATCATCTGGGGTCTGATCTCGCCTCAGCAACTGGAAGAACCTGAAGCCATCAGCCTCCAAAGAAAGGAAACCGACGAACATCGCTGGAACACTTGGGAGGCCAACGACTTAGCATGCTTCTGTTCTTCGAGCCTCCTGCAACTTGCTCTCTCGTTGGGCCCATCGCTGCTCAAATTCCTTTTCACAATCATCCTTCACGGTGAACCGGTTCATGACCTCAGAGCTAGATGCTGCCAATGCTGCGCATTCATGTTGACATGGGTTCATGTCTTGGTATGAAGAAAAATGTTAGTGACGGGGCATGCATTAGATGGAACCCTGCTCCATGACTAAAGTGGTGCAAAACATGAAGATGCACTCTCGTCGCAAGCCCCTCAGAGCCCGGCAACAAAAACCTTTGAGTCAGCAATGTCCGGGGCCTTCCCAGAAACAGCTAAAAGCATTTGGAAAGGCACTGATTCCAACTCTGCTAGCTCGGTGGATGCCTTGCTCTCCAAGAGCATTCCGTCCCAAAGTGCTGACTTCGGCGGTCCTGTCACAGTGGCCACACCGTTGATCGCCTCGGCATGGGCTGGCGTACAGCGCTTGAGGCGTAGCACAGGGCAGTATTGAAAACCATAATAATGCAGCTCAAGCCGTTCCAGTAGACAATGGAATCGCGCTGTGCGCGTCGATAGCATAATTTGCGAGCTGAGTGGCGGTGTGAAGGTGTTTGCTTGGTTGTTTGGTTCCATGATTTGCATAACAGAAAACACATTCACGGACATGCTCCGAAACATTGTTTTTTACTGACCTGTTGCCTATAAGACATGCAACTCTCCTGGGTTGCGCAGTCAAACAACCTTCAAACATATCAAAGCCTGACGTTCACAACAGCATAGGTCATGGTCAACAAACAATCAGCGGGAAAGGCTAGACTTACATCCCAATTTGGATCAAACAAGGAAATTGATGAGCATTGATAAGTTGTAGGTGCCACTCCCGCGAATTGTGGTGCGTGACAAGTCCACGTTTCTGCAAGAAGGGAAACGCTGATTCCTTAAAGTTGGGGAGGTATGAGAGCGTGGATACCTTGCACGTGGTGCATGGCATCTAAGAATAGGTTGGTCGCCCCCGCGAATGGGGCCCCCACCCCCAAGAAAACAAAAGCTGAAAATAAAAGCGCGGGACTACCCAACAACAAGGGCCACGGGCGCATTCTCAGACAAGTTCGTCGAGTATATTAAGAAATTCTAGCACAGCACGATAAAGCACGAAAAATTGGGCTATCCCTAAGTAAGCTTTGAGGATCATGGTCGAGTTCGCCTCGGCAAACACAGCCAAGCACGCTCGTTGGTGACAAGAGTAGAGAGAGGCGGGCTAGGCCGGGGTTCCGGCCAGAAGCCCCTTACCACAACCAAACGTCCCGTAGATAAATTAACCCATGCAAAGACCCAACAGCAAGTCAGAGCCGTTTTTAATGAATGCAGCTCTCATCCAAGAGCTCCCGCGGCGCGGATGACGGGTATACTTGGAATTTTCACCTGGCCAGAGAACTAGCGGCCCCGACCAGTTAAGATCTACAAGGTAGAAGCATGGCCCCAAACACCGCAAAGATTGCCCAACACACAACGTTTCTGCCTGCTTTCGGGGCTTGGGTAGGGTGCAGATCATGGGGATCAAGGGCCAGAAGGGGCGATTACAAGAGGAATATTGACATTAAGGCCCTTAAAGGGACGGGGCTGATTCTTCACGGGTCTACATCACGGGGTGGAAGGGGTGGTTGAAGGTAGCCGAAAGTGTTAGTTTCAAGATGATCCCTGCACAGTCCTCCTGTGGGATTTCTGCTGTCCTTTTCTTGAAGCCCCAAACCCTACGCCCTAAACCCTAAACCTGCAACCCTAAACCCCCAAACCCTAATCCCTAAACCTTGAACCCTAAACTTTAAACCACGTAGACTGCTCAAAGGTATTTACCCTGCGACTCTAGAGGCAACTTTTTTTTCCAAGTAAAAAACGTTGAAGTTTAGGGTTTAAGGTTTACGGACCAAAACAGCATAACCATACGTGTGCGATTTGGCAGTCTCTTGGTTGGTACGCACCCGATTAGGTAACTTAGGGGGCGTATCGTTGGGCTGTAACTACAGTTATACTGGGGGGCTCTGATCATAAAACCCCCCCCCCCTCACCAACAAGTACGGATCTGAATAATCCGGGGGGGCCCGAATCAAGTACGGGATTTGGGGGGGATCCCAGGGGAACCCATAAACCCTAAACCCTACGCCCTCTGGCCCAAGGCTTGGGACATATTTGCAATTAACATATTACTTAATCCCTTCCCCCTAATAGATTAAAACCCACCCGAATATTTAGAAGTCTAATTAAATTTCAGTTGATTTGAAATGGATTTGACTTCGATGCCAACTGATTTTTAAAGGGATTTCAATTAGATTTCAATTGATTTTAAAGGGACTTTAATTTGATTTGAGTTGGTTCTAAAAAAGAACTTAAGTTAGATTTCAATCGATTTCAAAGGGAGTTCAATTCGATTCAAATTGGCTTTTACTTAAACTGCAATTATTAGAAATGGATTTTCATTCGATGCCAACTGATTTAAAAATGAATTCAAATGAGATTTCAATTGATTTCAGACGGATTTCCATTCGATTTCAATTGGTTTTTTAAAGGATTACAGGTAAATTTCAATTGATTTGAAATGGATGTTAATTCGATGCCAAGTGCTTTTGCCTGCCAAAGCCCTGATTTTTCCGTACCCTTTTTCATGGCCATTATTCCGTTCCGGCGGTCGCGGTATAGTACCCCTTAGCAGACATGATTGCTTGGCCTGTTCGAATAAGCTGTCTTATAAGAAATCGATAGTTTCTGGCGTGCTCAAATTTCTGGCCAAAAGGCTGCTATTAAGTTTGAAATCCATAGGCCTAAGGCTTAACATATAAGTATTTGCAATTTAAATCTAATCTTCTTGTGCAGATTCTGGGGTCCATGCCTGCCAGAGCCTTGATTACTCCGTACCCTTTTTAATGGCCATTGTTCCATTCCGGCGGTCTCGGTATAGTACCCCTTAGCAGAGATGACTGCTTGGCTGTTCGAATAAGCAGGCAAAAAATTGGGGAACTGGAATCGACTTGGTTTCTGGCCGAAATGCTGCTATTGAGCTTGAAATCCATAGACCTACGGCTTAGCATATAAGTATCTGCAATGTAAATCTAATCTTCTTGTGCAGATTCTGGGGTCCATGCCTGCCAGAGCCCTAATTATTCCGTGCCTTTTTTAATGGCCATCATTCCGTTCCGGCAGTCTCAGTATAGTACCCCTTAGCAAACATGATTGCTTGGCCTGTTCGAGTAAGCTGTCTTATAAGAAATCGATAGTTTCTGGCGTGCTCAAAACCTGAGAATCAGAATCGTCTTGGCTTCTGGCCAAAAGGCTTTAAGTAGGTTTGAGATCCATAAGGCTTAGCATATGATTATTTGCAACTTAGATTTTTTTCTTCTGCAAATACTTAGTTAGGGGGTCGGTTGCTTATTCCCTGCTTGGGCATTTTCAGAAGCTAGCATGCGCTATTCCGTTTGTATGCTGTTATTAATCCGCTCAGACCGGATTTAGCTCTAATCCGACCCCTTTTACTAATCCGAAGTCAACATTAATTGGGTTACAATGACCATGGACCTCCAAGTTGGAAGCCATACACTTTGCAGGTTGAAGCCCCCTTTTACGGAGCGAGGAGGAATAACCTTTTAGAGTAAATCTCTCAAGTAAATGCAACCTGCCATAGCATCCCCATACAAGTTCAGGGCTTTGGGCATCCTCACGCAGAGCCCGATTTAAGCTCTGTACAACACCAGCATCAGCCCCATCTATCGCTCTATGTTGCCCGAAGCCTTAGGCCCTAAACCTTCACCTTAGACCTTAAACCCTTAACCCAAAACCCTAAAGCCGCCTGTATAGCAGGAATGATACTTTCTCCAACCTCCACATCCAGCGTGGGATCACAGCAGCGCTTGCAGGCAACTGGCGCCCGCAGCGCTCAATGGCCCGTGGTGGCTGTGCACCAGTGCCCGAGCCTCCGCTGCAAGTCCCCTCTTCCCTGCCAGCAGAGCAGTTGACGCACAGCGACATTCTGCACAGCCCCTGGTGCCGATTCGCATCTCGGCATGAACACATGCACGCATCAGCACACGCATCGCTCGACCACCCTCACTCTGAAGAGGAATACATAGACCTTGCAACGCCGCCTGCAGATGAATCGTCAGCCTCGGTAGGACATGGCCCGCACAGCCCCCGCTGCGACGAGGAAGCAGAGATAGCAGAGCAGCTTGCACGAAACCATGCCTCATCTGCAAGCGAAGGAGAGGAGGACCCACCAGACGAGCAAGCATTCGTGGCCTCCGCGCCGTGAAGTTGCATGCATGCACCAACACAGCGTTCACTTGAGCAATACATCCTTGCACTGCCCTCCATGGGCACGTTGGCGACCGCCAAGCTGCGAGCACGATGCGGAGCACACCTTGGCCCAGCATCGTCTGTTATCTCGTCGAGCGGTGGTTTTTATTCCATCTAAATTCTATTACAGAAACTACGCCTTCCGCGGAGGCCTTCCGCGTACCTTCCGCGAGTAGCACTTGTAGTCTTTTTTGCTCCGCCTTCCACGGCTGCTTCCGCGAAGGTTTTTCGGCTGGATTTCGGGATTTGCTTCCGTCTTGAAGACTACGGCAAAGGTTCCTGCGCATGCTCTTTTCGGTTGACTCCTTTGTCTTGGGTAGGTAGAGAGGCAAGTTACA